CCATATTTTCTTTCGGTGGGCCAACGTTGGGCCAATGGACATAGCGACGGTGGGCCAACCACGTCAGCCAACGTTGGTCCAACATTGGCAGCCACCACAGAACCAACGTTGGCCCACTGTTGACACAATTTACTTTTTTGTACAGCCATTGTTGGCTCCCTGGGCAGCCAACGACAGGCCACATGAATAATTTGCCAACTGCAACCTTGAGAACCAATGGTCACCGATAGCGACGTTGACCCAACGTCTTTGTGCTATCTAGGCATTCAGTGCTGCTACTGCAAATGTGTTCACATATTATATCCGTTTTTCATCAATAAAATATGGTGGCTTGTTTTTCCATACTAAATATATTTGGTAGCCTTATAAGTGGTTTCAACTGTATTACAAGGCGAAAATCCATATTTTTGAGGTGAACAACATTATCAGATAATTTTGAAAGAAAATATTACAAAAATTGACATTAATTTTTTTAATGACAGCTGGTATGTTTTCTTCTATTTTTAAGCATTTGCAATGATTTATCGATAGGTGGCTTCCTGGTATTAGCGGCAGCCAACAACGGGCCAACGTTGGCCCAACTACAATTTGCCAACTGCAATTTTGCACTGATCGATAGGTCCCAGATAGCACATCGCCAATGGGCCAACGTTGGGCCAACAACTACGCATCTGTTGGCCCAACGTCGGCTTGAGCGGTTGACCCAACGTCATTTTGTCCAGCGGGCCAACGTTGGTCCAACAGTGGCAAAAAATTATATTGGCCCAACGTTGGTCCAATGTTGGCACAGATAGCACACCGTCAGTGGGCCAACTTCGGGCCAACAGTGGCAAACAATTATGTTGGCCCAACGTTGGTCCAATGTTGGCAAAAAATTATGTTGGCCCAACGTTGGTCCAATGTTGGCTCGACAGTGCTTTAGTGCTAATGGCAATGTTGGCCCAACGTTGGCCTTGCAGAGGGAACAGATAGGTGGGTGGCCCAACGTTGGCCCAACAGTACTTTAGTGCTACCCAGATAGCACAACGACGTTGGGCCAACGTTGGTCCAACATTTGCAGCGTCTAAAGAACCAACGTTGGACCATTGTTGGCCCACTATTGACACAATTTACTTCGGTGGACCAACGTTGGGCCAATGGACATATCGACGGTGGGCCAACCATCTCAGCCAACGTTGAACCAACAGATATGTAATTGTTGGGCCAACGTTGGCCCATCAGAGTTGTGCTATCTGGGATTGTTGGCTCCCTGGTATTAGCGGCAGCCAACGACGGGCCAACGTTGGCCCAACTACAATTTGCCAACTGCGACTATGCCAACCAATGGCCACCAATAGCGACGTTGGCCCGACATCTTTGTGCTATCTGGGAAGTGTGATTTGCCGACCTGAAAATAACGTCGGCCCAACGTTATAGTTCCGCCCTAAAATTGCTAACTTCGGACCTGATATCATTGTCGGCCCAACGTTCTACCGACCCTAAAATTGTGTCAATTACCAACGTGGTACCAACGTTGGCCCAACGTTAGTGTACCACCCTAAAATTACTATAATTTGGGGCTAACAGAAGTGTGATTTGCCGACCTGAAAATAACGTCGGCCCAACGTTATAGTTCCGCCCTAAAATTGCTAACTTCGGACCGAAATAGACACGCTGCTTGCCAACCTTGCACCGACATCGGTACAACGTCAGCGTACAGCCGTAAAATTGCTGACTTCAGGCCAACAGAAAAGTGTACCTTGACGACCTCGTACCAACGTCGGCCCAACGTCAAAGTACCGCCCTAAAATTGCTAACTTCAGACCGAAAAAGATGTGTCATTTGCCAACCTTGTACCGACGTCGGTACAACGTGAGCTTACAGCCGTAGAATTGCCGACTTCAGGCCAACGGAGAAGTGTGCCTTGACAACCTTGAACCAACGTCGGCCCAACGTCAAGGTACCGACGTAAAATTGCCGACGTTGGGCCAACAAAGACGTGCTATCTGGGACAGTTCCTTTTTAACAAGTGATGTATGGCCTGATATAGCAATTATAATATCTGTCCTTCCCAAATCTGTTTTTCACTCATACTAGGGGAAGTGCTGCCCAAATTTTCCCCTCCCCAATCTGATTTTCACTGATACTAGGGGAAGTGCTGCCCAAATTTTCCTTGAGTTTCAACTTATATTATTTACCGATTTTATATTCCCCATGCTGGCCTAATATAACTCAGACATATTTGTCCACAGCTGTCATTTGTCAACAATTGTACAATTACACTTTGTCCACACAATTGTGAAATCATATTTGTCCACAGCTGTCATTTGTCCACAATTGTACAATTACACTTTGCCCACAATTGTGAAATCACTTTTGTCCACAGTTGTCATTTGTCCACAATTGTGCAATTACTATTTGTCCACAATTGTGCAATTACACTTTGTCCACAATTGCGAAATCATACTTGTCCACAGTTGTCATTTGTCCACAATTAATCACACAGTGAGTCTTCCATAGAGCCTTATAAATGAGAACAAGACGGTAAGTGACATATTCGGGGTTTTTGGTTTAATAGAGCACGTTACCAATTCTATGATTTTTGTGGAAGCAGGACCAGAAACTTCACACCTGTATTGAGATTTGAAATGACATCCGTCTCTGATTGGGCAAGATCGACAAACAAAATGGCGGCCTAAATTTTTCGAAATGCACTTCGTATTATAATGTTCATTTCTGGCGTATTAAGCAATATCATAGCTTCTTGTGTCATATCAAGATAAAGAAAGGTGTACGAAATATGCCTACATCTGTTACGCGGTAAACACGATACAAATGTATGTCGTATTGGGCAACGAATATGGCATATTTATTTGCGGTGTATGATAGATTCACCTGCGGTATATACTGACTAACCAATGAGAACGCGATACGAAAGTACGCAATAGCCTAGATGCGAGTAGAAATAATCTTGATTCACGTCATTAAGAATACCAAATTAAGTCAAACTGATGTCATATTTGGAATCTACACGTACATGTAAAATTACAATTGCCAATTACATCGATTTAACGAACGAGCTAAAGTCTATGAATCATTATAATGATTCCTGAATCAACAGGTCAGTACATTGAATATATGAACTGATACAATTGAATAACATACACCAGTGGTGCCTGTATTGTTTGATGTTGTTTTATGTATGTGTTACACGCAAAACAAACTTCAAGGGAAGTTAATCATTGATATACAGTACACCTCATTGGTAGAATATAAGCCAACACAACCCAATTAGGTGTGTATTAATGATTAACTTTTCTGTTATCTCAAAATCTGCTTAAACGTATACCATAATGGATAACTATGGGAAATTCATCAAAGAGAAAATTCTATGGATTAAGGAAGGGGTACCATTTACACAATTTGAGAAATTATTGGCATACATGAAACCTATTTAAAACAGCATTAATATTGTTCAAAAGCGATCGTAATAATGATTCCCAGCCCTATGAAGTTTGAAAAATAATAATATCTGGGTGTTAATCCAGAAATAATCCTCGAAAATGAGAAATATTTTTTGGGATTATATGGTGCAATCTTATAGTCAATTAAATGTTTTAAAGTGTATTGATGTTTTAGATGAAAAACACAAGCGGAATGCATCAAAAAACTACCCCGATTCATTCTACAAACAACTTGCGGTCGTTCATTGACATTTGAATTCTAGTGTGTCTCAAAAAAAATGTTACACTTACAAAAAGTTCAATATCTTTCATGATTTTGACTTTTCCCCTAAAATATACTTAGATACCATAAGACCAGTCTTTCTCGAATAAATGCACACCATCAGATTCAAAATCCGTCCAAGATTGACTGCACAGGACAGATTTTATAGACGCATGTGAAATCTGATTTTCGCCAAGATGTGGTGATAAATTCTTTTTTGGTGTGAATGCTTTGGACAATGATATCTTGATATGATCAATGATCCAGTTGTTTCTTTCCTGGATAGAAATACAAGATTTCATTGTCAGAGTGTTCAATTTTGTTACGTATGATGGCAACAGGATGTTGCAAAGGCCTGTGGCTGATCGTTTGGTAGAACTCTTTGGAAATCAGAAGATAGCATTGAATTACCCAATGGATTCGCCCCCAGGCTCATCCCACTTTACACTCTTGAGTTTTTGAAGAGCCTCTGTAAGCGGTTTACAGCATCACAAACTGACCTAAATGAACTTCTGCAAAATAATTGATAGAATCAGAGTGATATTACAATTCATGTGCGCATGGGCAAGGGTACCTCAGATTTGCTTTGGAGAACATGTTGAGGGGACCACATGTTTATGTGGATAGACCCAATGATCATATGTAAGACAAATAGGAAAATTACATAATGACTCAGTTTAAGGCCAAGCTTCTACTCAGAAGAAAGTTAAATATTAAAGAAACTGTTCCTCGTTTGTCATTTGGTCCATCCAATCACTTAGAAGTTGGCGCAAGTCAGATTTTACCATGGGACACTAAAAGCTGTCATGTGAAGCCAATCAATGACAGATTTTGAATTTGATGGTGTCAAATTATTCGAGAAAGATTTGTCCTTTGGTATAGAAAGTATATTTTAGGGAAAAGTCAAAATTATGAAAGATATTGAACTTTTTTTGAGTGTAACATTTTTTCGAGACACACTGTACATCGCCACGAACCCCGGAGTAGTCCGATAAATACATCAACTCACGTCACACTGCTATTGTGGTAGAGAAAAAATCAAAAAAGAAAAATCAACTATGCCTTCTATCTCCCTCAAAAAATTCCCAAAATTGTGATTAAAATGTTTTAATTTTTGGTACGATTGTCTTCTCCTAACTCAATTCCGCGTCTACCACTACTTTAGGGTGATTCTGCTGGTGAACGATACAATATACTGTAATTGACCTTTAAAATACATAAAATATCGCTGTACATTATCGATGTATTTAGAAAGCTATAAAATGAAAAATCAATTTACAATTATTATTGCACCACAATTTCATATCTCAATTGAGATCGTTGATCGAAGATGATGAAACGAAGATTTTTGATAATTTTCCTTGCACATGTTTTAAACATCGGTCTATCTGATAGGAATATATGTTTAGAAGATGTTGATATTACACTCGGGACGTCTTCGTCGACATTTGGTGAACTAACGACTTCGGAAATAGATGAAGTGATTCGTTATATTGGAAAAGAATTAAATGCCGTGCCATCAACAACAGCAACTGTTTCTGATACTTTCGCATATGTGATTGAGAAGAAACCTACTCGTAAGGAAGATGCTTTGAACCATGTTGATCATGATGGCCCAGTGCCCATTCGAGAAGCAAGCGTTGTCTTAGTCACTCCAGAGGAGGTAGCAGAGTATACAGTAGGGCCGTTACCTAATCCAACATACCATTTCAGAACAGAAAAACCAAAATGGCGTCGAAGTGACTTGCGATTTATAGATCGTCCATTCTACACACCTGCTGATTTCGTAGCTGTTGATACGCTCATTCAAAAGGAGGGACTAAAGCTTAAATTATTAATGCAAGAAAGTTTTAATGGATACGATATGGGATATGACTGTCTTAGAGATTGTATAACTTTCAGTCTTGTGAGAACGAACGTATTCCAGAAGAATCGCTTCATGTGGGTTTATTTTAAACGTAAGTTTGACATTTCACTCGGTTTGGACCGCTTGTATCCTCTACCCTTACAAATGTTGTTGAATGTGACAGATCGCGATCCGAGTAAATGGAACACCATCCAAATTTGGTACAATGACCATTTTTTTGATTCCATTGATGATTTGATAACAAAATATAACAATGACACAATAACTAAGGTGAAAATACAATCAAGTGTAGCTGACATGTTTTCCTCATCCCTAAGACGTCGTGAAGACGAGTTCTCTGAGTCGAGTAGAAAGAGGGGGCCAGATTGCTTTCCTCAAGATGGCAGACGCTACTCCATTGACGGGCGTCGCATCAAATATATGAACTGGGAATTCGAGTTTACTAATCGACAATCGACGGGCCCACAGTTGTTTGATATTCGATTTAGGAAAGAAAGAATCGTATATGAGTTGAGCCTACAGGAAATTTTGCTATTGTATTCTGGCAATAACCCAGTTAGCCGTGATGCAAACGTAGTCCTGGACAGTGAGATCGTTAATGGAAATTTTATCTCCCCAATGGCTCCTGGTGTCGACTGTCCCAAAGGTTCAAGCTATTTCAATAGTACCATATACAACTACCATTATGGCACGAGCGCAGTGATTCCGAACGCATTTTGCATCTTCGAGGACATCGATGGTCCACCTTTGAAACGCCATTATGAATATACATTAGATAGAAGTTACGCATTCTACGCTGGTATGCCAAACAATGCATTAGTTCTTAGAACGATGCAAACCATTGACAATTATGATTACATTTATGATTTTATTTTCTATCAGAACGGAGTGTTAGGCACCAAAATTGCGGCATCTGGTTATGTAGCAACTGAGCCTACAACAAACAAAAAGAGAGCGAAACAAGACCAGTATGGATTTCAGTTAAATGATAATGTTCTTGCCATGCTTCACCAACATCTTTTCAATTTCAAAGTTGATATGGACATTAAAGGAAGAACCAATAGACACGAAACACTCGCTGTTAAAGTAAGACCAACAACTCTAAATGTAGGAAACAATATACGGGATGAAACATACGAACAATACTTAAAAACAAATGCCAAAAGCACAGAAAAACAAGCTAGATATAGGTTTAAATACTCTCAGCCTAAGTATTACACGTTTTACAACAAGGATGCGTCTCAAAGTAAATTGAAATACAACAAAGCGTATTATCTAGACAACCAAGGAGCAAGCAAATTCTTATTCCCAGATAAATGGTCTAAAATGGGATCGGTGGCATGGGCAAAATATCAGTTAGCAGTAACCAGACATCATGTAAGTGTATTTTTCTCGTTTCTACATCAAATTAAGGTAAGTTCATCAATGTATAACGTTTCTCAATCGTATACAGAACTATGTTTCTCCACTAAAAGTACAGCAAACTTTTACAGTACATGTTACACGTTACTTATACGTTACTTACACTGTTTTTCAGGATGACGAAGACACAAGTTCGACAATCTACAATTCATTCGATCAACTGGATCCAGTTTTGAATTTTGACTCGTATATTTCTGACAATGAAAATATCATAGATGAGGTATGTGTCTGTAAATACAATGTACAGTTTAGTATGTTTATAGTTAAAATGTGCGATTTATATTGACACCCCCATAATACTAAATATAGCACATCGCGATCGTCTTTTTTGGAAGATCCACTTTTGATAGAGATGTACCTTCAAAACAATTTATTTTCATCCTACTGACTGAAATTCAATTATTTTCAGGATCTTGTTGCATGGGTCACAGTCGGAATGCAACACCTACCAACACCCGCAAATGATATTCCGGTTACAATGACTGCTGGGAACTCTTTAAGTTTCTATTTGAAACCGTTCCATTATTTTGACGAGGACCCATCAATGACTTCGCATGATAATGTTTTTATCACTCCAGGGAGAAATGGCAAAGAGAATATTACTGAAAATAAAAATAATGCAAAGGAAAACTGTTGCCCACCTAAGGATAATATTCGTTTTGATAGTCCGATCATATGATTCGTATTGGACTGTACAAACCCTTAGGGGTTAGTTCTGAAATCTTATTCATTTTGTTTTTAGTTTGGGACATTGAGGTTTTCTTTTAACTGTTTGTGTTCTAAAGCCCGGTATACACCAATGGGGCAAGTTGGGACCTCCATAGACTTAACATTGCGTGGGACCTCGTGGGACCTTTTGGGATTTTGCCCCATGAAGTCCGTGGGACTCCATGGAACTCCGTTGAATTTTGCCCCATCTTGCCCCATCGAGTCCCACGAGGTCCCATGAAGTCCCGCGTGGGACTTGATGGGGCAAAATCCCACGGAGTCCCATGGAGTCCCATCGAGAATGAACATGTTCATTCTTTCCATGGGGCATCGTGGGATTCTCGATCATATGACGTGTTGTGTGAGGCCCGACATAGACCAATGGGGCACGGTGGGATTTGATGGGACTCCATGGGGCTTGATGGGACTCCATGGGGCACGATGGGACAAAGTCATCAAGGTCCCATGGGACTTCGTGGGATTCGATGGGGCAAAATGGGATTCGATGGGGCAAGATGGGACTCGATGGGGCAAGTTGGATTTTGCCCCATTGGTGTATACCGGGCTTTAGTTGATTCTTTCTTGTTGTGTTGTGTTTTGTATATTTTTGTTTTTGTTTTTTCCGTTTTGGCTCAAAAAGTTACCAAGTACTTGTTGAAGTGGCAGCTGGGTAACATTTGTTTGACTTCTCCTCGCTTTTGATTAAACGGGATCAATCGCTAGGTTAATACACAGATTTACATCAGCATCGAAATCGAGGCCTAGTAGCGCTGGTATTCCTACTGACTCCTTTTTCCTATTCCTGGCTTTTGTTGCAAGGTTACGTCTATTTCCCAGAGGGCTTTTAATGTGAAAATGAAAGTAAAGGGACCGTGTTTAGTATGGCAAATGATTTGGGACAGTCATATCTTTCACCATGAGTACTTTCTGGTCATGACTACAGTGTTTTTTGTTAAATAATATGTTCAAAATTAAACTAGACTTTCAATATCATGCTACCTTTAAAGTTTTTTGAATAATCTTTTCAAGCAATAAAAATCAGAAAAAGAAGATCCTCTATTGAGGAATGGCCTTCAGGACTGTCAATAGATAAATTTTATTGAAAATATTCAAAACTTCTCATTTTGAATCTTGAAACATGTTTGTAAATAATGATGAAGGAAAATATGATATTTATTTGATATATGTGGAGAATTTGAAGTTTCAAAACAGCAATATTTACACATAAACCAATGGGCCAGTTGTGGAGAACAACCTAGTAGTTAACTGCCATCTATACGAGTCCTGGCTCCCATTGGGTTCAACATTTTGAAAAGAAATTGTTGACTTAGGGTCCCTATTGATAACTTTCTGATTTGTTCGATTGATATTTTCATTATCCATGAGAATTTACTTGAAAGATAACATACTGTGTCAATGAAAAATGTCATATTTAAATTGAGAAAGTAATCATGGTAAATCACTTGCCACACTATGCCTGGTCTTTTATCATGTTTGTTGATTTATGTAACAGTAACCATAAACAAGTAATCACCTTACACAATACATAGATCAGTGATACTTTAAATCAATATCAGAGTACATTACGTAAAATATACGATGCAAAATGAATTCATCTTAATAAACAATCAAGAGTTTTGTGAAATGAATGTTGAGGGCGACATGGTAAATGTCTTTGTTTACAAATTTCAAAGCCATTATCATCAACTTTTCATAGGATGACATGAATGACATATCAAAGGGCTTCCATGATCACACGCGTTTACGACCGTACATTTCCGAGAAATACCCAAGATATATTATGCAATTCATAATAAATCCAACAACAAACCCATTCAGTTTTTTCCTCCTGCTTTAGCCAATCAAAGAGCGCATATACCGAAAACACTACAGCTTTATGAAACAAATATTTGTTTATGAAACTAAATCGATTCATTCAAAATAAATAAACACAATGATGTAATGGTAAAGTAGTTTTTAACTAAGTGCAAGTAATTCATTTAAAGAGTATTATAAATCATTTTTATCACATATAGTATGTGATTGATTAATGCTAATGCAAATGGCAATTAATTCAAACATGATTGCATTTCTAAAACACATTATAATAGATTACACAATGATTACATTAGACACCACATGTGTTATAATATTTTCAATTTTCTGATCGCAAATATACACTAAAGAATGATGATAGGCCTACAACGTGATCTCGGGATAATATTTATTATCACTTTTTGTATTGCTATAAATCCATCAAGCGGGAAGACATGCTCTGGTAAAATCAACGTTACACCAGTAAAGCATCCGTCCATATTTAGCGAACTTACAAGTTCCGAAATAGGCGAAGTGTTACGGTACATTAAGAAAGAATTGAATACAACAAAATCAACAAACGGTGGCTTGTCTGATACATTTGCATATGTAATTGAAAAGAAAACCACTTCGAAGGAAGATGTTTTGGAACATATAGATCGTAATGGTCCAGTGCCTTTACGAGAAGCAAGAGTGGTTTTGTATTCGCCTCTAGAAATCGCAGAATACACGGTAGGACCATTGCCAAATCTAACATACCATTTTAGAGCGGAAAATCCAAGATGGAATCGCAGGGACTTGAAATTTTCAGAGCGCACATTTTACACACCATCTGATGCTTCAGCAATAGCTGCGCTCGTTCACAAGGAAGGGCGCAAATTGAAAAGACTCTTGCAGGAAAGCTTTGATGAATTTCATATGAATGACGACTGCCGTAAACGCTGCATTTCGTATAACTTTCTGAGACCGACTGTACTTGAACACAGTCGTGTTATGTGGGTTTACCTTAAACGTAAGGTTGATATTTCATTAGGATCAGACCGTTTGTATCCTTTACCTCTTCAGATGCTATTGAATATGACAAGTTCCAATTCGACAAGTTGGAAAGTATTCCAAGTGTGGTACAATGATCAATTTTTCGATTCCTCTGACGATTTGATGAGAAAATATAACAATGGAACAGTAGCTAGGGTGACCATACCCTTAAGTAATACTGACATATTTTCTTCTATGAAACAACGTGCTAAAAAGAACTCTAAATCCAGCAAAAGGAGGGGACCCGATTGCTTTCCTCAAGATGGCAGACGATTTGCAATTGAAGGGAATCGAGTGACGTATATTAATTGGGAATTCGAATTCTCCAATCGGCAATCGACGGGCCCACAATTATTTGACATTCGATTTAGAAAAGAAAGAATTGTTTATGAGCTGAGCCTCCAGGAGGCATTGTTATCGTACACAGGCAATACCCCGATGAGCCGTCATGCCAACGTATATCTTGACGGTGAGGTTCTTCTTGGTAACTTTATTTCCCCGATGGCTCCTGGTGTTGACTGTCCCAAAGGTTCAACCTATTTCAATAGTACCATATACAACTACATTTTTGGCACGAGCGTTGTGATTCCGAATGCATTTTGCATTTTTGAGGACATTGATGGTCCACCTTTGAAACGCCATTATGAATATACATCAGATGGAAGTTACGCATTCTATGCTGGTATGCCAAACAATGCATTAGTTCTTAGAACAATGCAAACTATTGACAACTATGATTTCATCTATGATTTTATATTCTATCAGAATGGAGTGCTAGGCACTAAAGTCTCGGCATCTGCTTATGTAGTAACTGAGTTCACAAAAGACAGCACAGCGGAAAGAGGAAAATATGGATTTCAAATACATGAAAATGTATTTGCTATGTTTCACCAACATCTTTTCAATTTCAAGGTTGATGTTGACATCAAAGGAAGAAGCAATAGACACGAAACACTCGCTGTGAAAATCAGACCGACAACTCATAAAGTAGGAAAGAATATACGGGATGAATCATACGAACAATATATAAAAACGTATCTTAAAATAACGGAAAATCAAGCTAACTATAGGTTTAAATACTCTCAACCTAAGTTTAACATTTTTTACAACAACAATGCGCCTAAAAGTAAATTGAAATACAACAAAGCGTATTATCTCGACAACCAAGGAGCAAGCAAATTCTTATTTCCAGATAAATGGTCTAAAATGGGATCCGTGGCATGGGCAAAATATCAGTTAGCGGTTACCCGATATCACGTAAGCATATAGCCATACTCTTCATTTATTCATTTTGTCTTGTGTTTGTATCTGTTAAAGTTAACATATGTCCTAACTTAGGATATATGTTAACTTTAACAGATACAAACACAAGACAAAATGATTCTTAAGTACGATACACAACGCTGTCTGTATATAAAAATGCTATAAACATGATTATTTAAAATAGTAATGCTGATGATTAATAATATCCGAAACTACTCATAAATTCTAGAAGCTGTACGGTTGTGTGATATTCATATGGTATCCTATGATTTTGAGGAATATCATTTCTATCTAATAATTATATTTGATTTCTTCATTTGGAAACCGTCAAGCCATTGCACATTTTTTTAAAGGGACAATATGATTGGCTGTCCGATAGGTTACTTTTAGAAAATAGTTATTAAGCTTAATCAATAGCAATGTTCTTGGGCGTAGAGTATATCATGAATTGCAAAACTGCCATTGATTGATCGATGCATAGCCAGTTCAAATACCTAGTAAGTAAGTTATATGATATTATATATGGTAATATGTCCAAATTAAATGGTCTGCTCTTTTCAGGATGATGAGGACACGAGTTCAACGATCTACAATTCATTCAACCAATTAGATCCAGTTCTGAATTTTGACTCGTATATATCAGATAATGAAAATATAACGGATGAGGTACGTTTCTAGTAAATATAACTAAATTGAACTAAGGAGAAAATTCAAGAAGATGTGTCGAATAGACATCTTTCCATGAAACCCTACCATATTTTGCTGTACAAATGAAACAGTGTTATATCGTGGTATGGTATTATTTTTAAGTAAAAATTGAATAAAAGTTATTGGAGATTTCGGACAACCATTGGAATACGATATCTAGTATTTGTAAACAGATTTACCTACAACTGACAACATTCTGGCTATTATTACGGGACGTCTTCTCCTAATTGATCAACTCGAAGACTTTTAAACTTATTTTAGCGAAGGCTTCTTAGAATCATTGATATTCTAATAAATTCTTATAAAAATATTTTACTTCAAACAAGTACGCATTCCCTTATTCAATCGTCTCAAAAAATGTTCTACTGGAATGGTCCATTAGGTAGCAAGAAGCTTCTCTTCATAATTACTGTATTATCTTGTTGTAACTTGTAATTGTACTTTTATAGATTACTTTTAATTACTTCGGCACAACAAATGTACAAATATTTCAGGATTTGGTGGCATGGGTCACAGTCGGGCTACAACACCTTCCTACTTCCGCTACTGATGTCCCGGTAACAACAACTGCAGGCAATACTCTTAGCTTCTACTTAAAACCGTTCCACTATTTTGACGAGGATCCATCCATGTCATCCCACGACAACGTTTTCATCACTCCAGGACAAAATGACGAAGAAAATGTTGATGAAAATGAAAACAATGCTTTGGAAAACTGCTGCCCACCTAAGGATAAGATACGTTTCGAAAATCCGATTCATGACTAGCTAATATACATCGTTTTTGAATGTGACTGGTGTTTTTGAAGTTGTTAGAAATAAATATACATCGTGGCACAAAATAAACGTTACCCTGGCTACTTTCTCAATAATAAAGGAATCCTCACAATTTGTGTTGTGTGCATGATTGTTTTCTCAATTGAACACTTTGCACAAATTGGCAGGGATTCCATCATGATTTAGAAAGTTATTCCAAAATTGAAGGATAGCTTTGTTTGTTTCACCCTGTATTCTAAGAACTTATCAAAGACGTATGCGACCTATCTATTGCACTTAATTACTAAAGAGAATATATATAAAATCCAAGCATCATCAATACCGCATAAATTGTCACGAATAAATACAGGGTGTCTCAAAGAATGTATCCAAAAGTTTATCAAAAGCACAGATAAACCAATCAATATTTTCAGACATATTGTCATGTAGCCAAAACATTAACATTTTCTCCCTAATACACCATTTTTATTTCAGTCTTGCCTTTTTGATGCTTTAACCTTTTACCTTTTCATACCACATAATCAATGTAACCTCATATTTCTATGACGGCCTGTATCTTTACTGCTACATTGTTCACGACATTTGATAATAATTGCGGTTTTGGATTTCTCATTGGATGTTGCCCTTAAGTTGTTCTTGCTCTTTTTGCTTGGACTGAGCATTAAAACACTCCTTCAGATATCCCCAGAGAAAGATGTTTGAAGATGACAATGGCAGAACAAACACAGAGAATCAGGTCAGTTATCGGCAAATGATTCAGGAGTTACATTCCAGAGTTACACAGGCTAGCCTGGAGACCAAATGATATCCAAATGAAAACACAGTGGTATCAAATTGATTGAGCCTCTCTACACACAACAATAACTACACTAGAATTCCAACCAATGCAGTTTCTTGGACGTCTGACCTCCCTGTATTAGGGGGCTATAAGACATTGTGAGGGCCTCCCAGACAGCCCATACTTTTTTCTCTGGGGCATTTTTGTGCGAGACCCAAGCTAAGAGACCTAGGACAACTTAGACCAGCATCCGAACAGAAAAAAAACATTCCACCGGAAATATCAAATGTGATGAACAATGTAGTAGTAAGGATACAGACTGTCATCGAAATTTAAGGTTACATTGATTATGTGGTGTAAAAGTTAAGTTGAATTAAAAACTGTGTATAGGGGGGGGGGGAAACGTACATGTTTTGACTACAGGACCATGCAAAAATTGTCTGAAAATATTGATTCGTTGGTCTATGCTGTTGATATGTACTTTGGGGTACATTTGAGACACCATATATATATATACTTGGATGCATCAAAACGTTTTGCAAGTTTGACTCTATCGCAATAACCATATTGAGTTATATGTCCTCACATTTGGCACATACGTTGATCATACATTTATAGATATACATACCTGTAGAATTTGTAAGAAGTCAATTTGCAAGAATTGTTGTCATGGCAACAGAGGGGGCGACATCATGGTTCCATGCACATTTTTTATTACGCAAAAATTGCCACGAAATCGGAATCAACAAGATCAATTTGCCAACACCTTGTTGACATTAATCTAGACAAAAGTTAGTCTCCTAATAACAATGTTCGACATATAAAACATTGTTCTCTATCAAATTATTCATAATATAGCATGTCTGTGCATCCAGTCTTTGAACACAGCTAGGAATCCGTCTGCTGATAAAACAGTCAAGCACTCCCTCACGGCTGTGGTAAGCTCCCCCTGGGTTTCAAAGTACATGTATGTATAGTCTTTGGTCTCATCACCAAATGCACCCTTTACAATGTCATATGTATCTTTTTTTTAAAAAGTTTTCCCATTGTCCACCATGCATTTAATGAGGCTTCTGTGTTTCCATTTCTGAAGTTATTTGTATCAGTCATTGCCCATGAGCAGAAAAGAGAAAATTTACTTAAGAACTTGAAACAAAATGGCAGCCAAAATTCACAATTGTTCCCCACAATCTACATCAAGTACAGTGTAGAGCCATATACCATAAATCTTATGTAATGTCTTCAGAAAAATAAGAAAGAGAAAAAGGAATAAAAAGACACACACATCTGCAATTTTGGTGACTAAATGATAACAATAATAGAATAGCATGGAATTTAAAATATACATATTTCAGATGGAATCGAGTACCCTCGGTTTCTGTTACCATAGGAACCATATATTTTAACCAATCAGAGATGAGCAACCAAATCTTGGCACATTTTGTATGGATAAATGATCTCTATAATTGTGCCAAATTGCAAAACATATCTCAATGTAGCACTTGAGATAGAGTCAAAATTCCAAAACTTTTTGATGCACCCGAGTACGTGTAGGGGGCCACCCTGTATATAACTTTAAATCATTCGGAAACGTAAGGTTAGGTGACCTTGAGCATGAAAATAATGTATCTCTTTTTCTAAGAAATATAAAGTACTAATGAACAATGATGTCATCTTCAAACGTACACAAAATAAAAGCGTCTCATATATGGGACATAAACGCTAATGGGCAAGCTTAATGAGAAAAATGCATCATACACGACTGCACTTGATAGATAGTTTGATCATTTGTTAATTATGATCAAATAACATTTTCTACCGAATATAAATTGTATCATAACATTAGATGGATTTTGGTATGATTAATCCATCATTCATTACGATTAATTATGATTGAATATATTTTCAATCGATATTGTGAGAAATACATGTATTTGTAAAACATATTTTAGGCATATTAATGTGCCATATACAGGGTGGGCCAAAAAATGTTACTGAGTTTAAAGTGTAATAACTCATTCATTATTGGTATGCTTGGTCTCAAACTTTCTGAAATGACTTAGAATTGATGCAATTTTTATTTTATTTTTGATTTTTATGTACGTTTTTTTCATTTTAGTGAATGACGTGTATGACGAAGCTCACTTTCAACTATCTGGACATGTCAACAAGTAGAACATGATATTACAATATTATTATATTATCATCATCTTCATCAATATGATCATCAATCATCATCATCATCATCATCATCATCATCATCATCATCATCATCAATCTTCCACCATAACCGAGTAACTGATTTTCATGTTCCTGTTGATGTACTACAATCGAAAAATGTCATAAGACCTCGGCTTGCATTTCATATATGAACCCACTGCTATATTTTTTTGTAAATATGATTAATATTAAATAAACTAGCCTTAAAAAGAAAACATTCAAATCTAAAATATGTAAAAATTTCAAAATTGTCCCAAGCAGGCGTAACCTCCAGTAGACCGATTCAATAAATGACAAGTCCCGGTTTTGGAGAACGAAGTTCGTAAGTCTAACTGCGCTAATAATTTTTTTATGAAAAATATAGAAATAAAACCTAAATCAAATTATGGATAATCAAAAGAGGACATTTCAATCTATGATATGTAAAATTGTCCAAACCAGTGCGGTAGACTTTTGAACTTCGTTATCCAAACCGAGACTAGTCCTTCAGAGTTGTAGGACATAAAGTCAAGTAACATATATTGTCATGTCCTATAAATTAAACATATTGAAAATAAGGACCCATGTAAATGATTTTATAATATGTTAAATTGCTACGATGAAAAACAAATATCTTCAAGAGCTAATATATACAAACGTATTGTAACACACTTTTTATGAGTTTGAAGTTTACGCTATGAATATAATTGAGAAGGGAAGCAGAATATGTACATGTACTACAAATATACGACACATACTTAATAGACAGTTGGGACTCAGGGAGGTATAGATACATGTTTTTAAATTGTACGTGTTAACATGGCCGATTGAGGATAAAGGTATACGGAGAACAATTCTAATTAGTTCCCTGGAAAAGTGAAATGCTAATCCCCAGGGGTCGAAATATTACACGCTCGCGTACAGGTTCTCTCAAAAACTTGTAACTTAATCTCCCTAGTAACTAAAAACAACTTGACCACTAGTCCAACAACATTAGACCTAGCCTGGGCCTCGTTTCTTATCTGACATGTCTTATGGCCCCGGCTAGGTCTAACTTCCATGATGATTTTGCCCTTGATGCGATCATTTAATCGTTCAGCAGGTTTCGACATGCGGAACAAATTAAACCGTAATAAGATGGTATCGTTACAGAAATAATGTGATCAACGCATGCATACATACCTTATGAATAAATACAAATCATCACATACCCCCCTGTAACCTCATCGATGTATAATTATGAAAATGTTGGGAGAAGGCTTTTTCTTAGTTTAGAAAACTCTGTTCTGGTTCCGGTAACATCGAAATGGCAAATCCTTTCAGGAATAAACCGCCGTTAGCAACACTGAACGAAACAAGTTCATAAAACGAAACGAACCCCGGTTATCCTATATATAAGTACAAAATATTGTAATACTGTAGGAGGCTTGCGATAAACATGATTAAGTTTCCTACTTTTTTTCCTGTTTTATTTTCAGAATTATGGAAATTCGTGAGAAAAAAAGGGAAAGGCGTACATACTTAAAGAATATTAGTGTAATAATGATCAGAGACGCCTTAAAACATGTAAAACACGGATTCAGATTTCAGAGGGATGGAGCGACAAATGCGAACACGTATGTTTAGGATGTGAATGACATAAAAATGGTCAAAAAGATGGAACCAACCTGAGTGAGATAACTGCACATGAGCGTAGCCAGAGGGGGATGCCCCCCCCCAAAAAAAACAAAACAAATTGTAGACTTTATTGAAGATTTACAAATGATAGTTTCAAATCCTTAGATTGCGCAATTTTGATTTTCAAAAAATTCATGGGGTGAACGCCTGAACTCCTTTCTGACTAACCCTGCTGGCTACACTCCTGAGTGCATGGTCACACCCGGGTCACCCGCTGTGCAGAAATGTGGACGTTTGGGTACGTGGTGCATGTATAAATCGGTATCCGGCCCGGACGAATCATTTCGACTTCCACGGTAGTTGGAGCAACTGATGACACCTTGTGAATCAAGAACGAATATCATCAAGTCAAACTGTATCCAAAAATTGAAGGATATGCCTCTATTAATCATAATCCATGTAATAAAAATAACTTGTTTATGTAATGACATCATATATATCATAC